AAAGACATCCCCAAGGAAGCCCAATGTTTGTGGAAACAGCGGATTACCCATCCAGGCCAGCAGACGTGAAGATTGGAAGGTCATTGTGGCAGGTCATCAAGTAGTACCTATAACAGTGGCTAATTTCTCAAAATGTGAGCAGACAGTCGAGGAAGGGGCATTGTTGGGTGTGTACTAGGAGGTAGAGCTAGTCAATGTTAAGGCAAGAAATACAACCATAAAGAAAGGACATCCTCTCCCAGAACATTTAACTGACCTCTATAAGAAGAGCATAGCCCATTTGTCATCATCACAGGATCTTCAGGTTAGGGAAATTTTGGCGAGTTATGCAGACGTCTTTTCAAAAGGAGATCATGACCTTGACTGCACAGACCTTGTGGAGCACAGAATAAACACAGGCAATCATCGTCAAATAAAGATCCCTCCAAGGAGAATAGCTCTGGCAAAGCGACAAGAGATAGAGAAGGTCATGAATGGCCTAATTAAAGAAGGGATAGTCAAGAAATCAGATAGTCCCTGCTCAGCTCCCATCATGTTAATCCAGAAGAAGGATGGGACCCAACGTTGCTGTGTGGACTTCAGGGCTCTTAACAGTATAACTAAAAAGGACTCATACCCACAGCCAAGAATTGATGAAACTCTTGATGTTCTAAGTGGAGCCAGGTGGTTTTTCAACTCTGGACTTAAAGTCGGGTTTCCATCAAGTGAAAATGGCTGAAGCAGATAAACCTAAGACTGCATTTAGTTATGGCCAAGGTCTCTGGCAATACTGTGTGATGCCATTCGGCCTTAGCAATGCTTCAGCAACATTTGAGAGGCTGATGGAAATAGTACTGGAAGGCCTACAATGGAGGATAGCCCTAGTGTACCTGGATGATGTCATTGTGTTTGCAGCAACATTTGATGAGGAAGTATCCCGACTAGAGGAAGTATTCAAGCATTTCAAAGCAGCAAACCTCAAACTCCATCCCAAGAAATAGCACTTGTTCCAGAAAGAGGTGCTTTACTTGGGTCACATTGTAAGTGAGCATGGTGGTCGAACTGATCCTGACAAGGTGAAAGCAGTATGTGATTGGCCAACACCAGACAATGTGGGAGAGTTAAGAAGTTTTTTGGGACTCTGTACCTTTTACTGGAAGTTTGTGAAGGGCTTTGCAACTATAGCTACTCCACTACATGATTTGACAAAGAAAAAGGCCAGAAATTTGAATGGGTAGTTTCTTGCCAGCATGCTTTCAAGACATTGAAAGAAAAATTGGCCTCAGCTCCACTTTTTAAAGCTCCCAAATCCCTTGTTGCTGCACATACTGGATTGTGATGCTAGTAATGTCGGAATTGGAAGAGTGTTGTCTCAAAAAGTGGGCGAAAACAAACATGTGGTGGCCTACTTCAGTAGGATCCAGCGTAGACCAGAGAGGAACTACTGTGTAACAAGGAGGGAACTCCTTGCTATAGTAAAGACTGACATATCTCCATCCTTACCTCTATGGTGCCAGGTTTACCACCAGGACAGACCATGCTGCATTACGCTGATTAAGATCATTAATAAGACCTATTGGCATTGGATCGGAAAGTTAGACCAGTATAATTATGATATTGAATACAGAGAAGGAAAATCTCATGGAAATGCCAATGGACTGAGCCGAAGACCCTGCAAAAATGATTGCAGACATTGCTGCAAAAGAGAGGTTGAACTAACCAGGTGTCATCAAGCTGAAGTCGAAGTGACTGAAAAAGTTGGTGATGGTGAAGTGGAACCAAGTGTAGATATTAAAGTAGAGCAAGAGAATGATCAAGATTTGAAAAAAATAATTGACTTTCTAAAAGCAAGTGTTTTGCGCTCTGCTTGGGAGAAGGTGTCTAGCTTTAGCCCTGTGACAAAGAACTATTAGGCACAATGGGACCAGTTGAAGCTTGAAAATGGTATTCTTGTCCGGAGATGGGAAACTGCAGATGGGAAAGTGACGACCTGGCAAACAGTTACACCGAGAAAGTTACGGGAAGTTGTGCTGCGTCAATCCGTGATAGTTTAATAGAAGGTCATCTCGGAGTTAAGAAGACATTGAGTTACCTACGACAGAGATTTTACTGGATAGGTATGAGGCAAGATGTGGAAGAATGGTGCAGAATCTGCAGTACATGTTGTGCTAAAAGGGGACCCAAGCATAAGGGATGTGCTCCAATGAAGTTATATCAAGTTGGTTCACCAATGGAAAGAGTAGCCATTGACATTGCTGGTCCATTGCCCCAAACTCGTGCTGGAAACAAGTACATTTGTGTGGTGATGGATTATTTCACCAAATGGCCTGAGACATATGCAATAACAAATCAGGAAACTACAACTGTAGCTTCAGCTATTAGTGATTTCTTCTTCTTCAGGTTTGGTATGTCATACGAAATGCATTCTGATCAAGGCTGTAACTTTGAATCAGCTGTGTTCCATGAATGCTGCAAGTTGTTTGGCATACAAAATACCAGAACAATGCCACTTCACCCACAATCAGATGGGATGGTAGAAAAGTACAATTGGACAGGAATTGGAAAGTTTCGTAATAGCCGCCAAGATGACTGGGATGTCTTACTCCCTACACTGTTGATAGCCTATAGAACAGCAGAGCATAAAGTCACTGGATACACTCCAGCAAAGTTGGTGTTTGGTCAGGAACTTCAGTTGCCAGTGGAACTGATAACAGGATGCCCACCTTACAAAGAGTTGCCTGAAAATGTGCCAGAGTTCGAGAAAGTGTTATCTGAAAGGATGGATGATATTCATCATCAAGGGCATTCCAACTTAAATACGTCTCCTGATTCCATGAACCTATGTTATGATACGAAATCTACTGAAGTCAGCTTTGTTCCAGAAGACAAGGTGTGGTTGTATAATCCCAAAAAGACCAAAGGGAAGTCTCCTAAGTTGTCTTCTCCATGGGAAGGCCCATATGACATAGTGGATCGTCTCTCAGACGTAACTTTGTGAATAAAATGTGGTCGGCGAGGTAAGCCAAAAGTGGTGCATGCCAACAGCCTTTGGCATTATCACAGTCCAGGACATTTCAGTTGGAATGAAATGAACAATAGAACAAATGATGCTGCTGAAGACGTGTCACCTGAAAAAGCCACTGTTGAAGAAGAAACTCTACCTGATTTTGAGAGAGAAAACAGTGAAACCATTAATGAAGTTACTACCACTAATGTGACTGCTACCGATAATGGGACAGATGGAGCAGATGAATACCATGTGAAGCAGAAGCGAATGAGACAGAGACCAGTATGAAAGAAGAAATGTCCTGTAAAATTAAAAGACTTTGTTGTATTTTAATTTTGTGTTTGTAAATTCTGTACATTAAATTATTGTTAATTTTCTATTGGTTTAATGTAAGTGGCTATTGTTTGGGATGAACAATACTAAGGAAGGGGCAGTGTTATGACAGCGGAAGTCACGTGACGCTACCGGCAAGTTTGCACGCTGGTAGCATGCATGAAGTTTCTCAAATTATTGGGGAAGTCCGACTTTGTTCAAGATGCCCTCTTCTTTAGTATATAAGCCTGGCAGAGAAAGCCAGCGGGGGAATAAAGTTTGTGTTTTGTACTCGTCGAGAGCAAAGTTATCGAGTTTGTGAATCGCTGTGATTTATAGCATGTATTATAAAAGTTGTTAAGTTTAAAATGACGAGAAACATACTGATTGTGGAAGTACTGTGTACTAAAGTTTGTATTGAGGAAGAATAAACTGGTTTAATCAAAAAGGACTTTTATCGCTGAAGATCCTTGGAAAGGATTTCTACCGGAAACAAACAAATAAGCAGATATGTAACAATATGTAACTGTTAATTTTTTTATTGTGATGTCATGTAGCCTGCCTGTTCATATTTACGATGGGAATATTATGTTTAACAGTAAAAATTTGTTATATATGTTTGTTCAATCTTAGGATGCAATCACTGACTAAAAAAACAAAAAACAAACCATTTTGTGACATGAGCATGTCAAAATTATTAAAGACTGCAATAAAATGTTATTTCAATGGTTGTGCAAGTTATTTTACTCTAACTGCAAAATATACAATACCAAATAATGAAAGAATGAAACAGAAAAAAAATGAGACAACTGGCCAGGGCTTGGTGTTAAACAATTTAAAGAAATTGTAATTCGGGAACTGCAATTGCTTCAAGCACACAATTAGCATAAACACCAAAATAACATTTCATTTCGGTCTTTGATCATTTTGACATGCTCAAATCAAGAAATAGTTATTTTTGGTTTTAACTTTATTAAACAAACTCTTAATTTATATACATATAAATTATTCGCACTTTCCACCTAAATGGCACCCTACACAACATGTAGACTAAACAGCTATGTCGGAATCCCCTAGGGTTCATATACAGTCATCCCTTGTTTTGTACAATTGACCAAAGGCAACCATTTCAGCAGCATAGAAACTATTCAAACGAATAGGATAGGACAGACGTGACTAGCTTGTCAAAATGTGCTATATATGTGACATAATGGATAATAATGGCAGATATTCTTTTTGATTTCATGTTTTTGATTATGAACAATGCATCAGGACTATTTTCAACCCTGCATAATTCAAAAGTAAAATGAGATCAGCAGAAACTAAAGAAAAACAAAATATGAAGAGCTTTATATAAATTTTATTACTTTCTAATGAAGCTTGATCAAACCAATTAGAATGCAAAACAATGTAATTACTTCACACTCAAACTGCATATAAAATACTGTGTTCAGAATATAGTTAAAAATTACAACAGAAATTTACATGTTACAAAAAATAATGAACCCCAGAGAAAACTGACTTACAACATAAGATGAATTAATAATAATCCTACAACTGATTACAATCAGAGACAAACGTTCCATAAAGCAACCTTTTCTGTACTCTTACAGTTTGCTTATATTTCCTCAGAACTGACACAAAAGTTTGGAAATCAAAGTTTCCATAGCTTTCATTGGTTTGGTTCACCTTTTTGTATGTCTACAATTACAACTGTAACATTATCTCCACTGAGTTTGCGCAAAGCTTCGTTTACAAGTTTGCCACATATTCCTTCATAATTGGGAACTACCTGCTTCTCCTTAGGTGCTGCTCCATCATTCTAAAAACAGTACATCAGATAAGGATTATCAAGGCACCATAACATATAGAAAAAAAATTTATACTACTGATGTTATTTTTGTATTTAAGCAGATACTGTGTATAAATTTCTTATAGTGCAACATATAACCTATTGCAATTATATTTCTGTGGATATCAATGAGATATTATCCACTCTATTTCACAAGCTAAAATACTTAACTACTCTATGTTAGGAGACTAACTATTTCAGTTATTGTTAGCCCAGCTGCAACAAAATTACAGTAAAACACTAAATATTAGAACAAAATATATACATATATATACATGAAGATACAACACCCAAAAACGATTCTAAATATCCTGCATTATTTATGCCATTATAATTGTGGAGACCATCATATTTGGGAAACCAGTATAAATTCAGGGTAGAAAATTTTCAATCCTAAATGAGGATCTTTGCAGTTTGGTAAAATTTACAGATCTGGAAATGCTGAATATTAAATTGATTGACACAGTGTTAACCAAAAAGCAAAGAAGTGCACAAGGAAAAGAAGAATTATCATAAAGGTTGTTTTTGGGGAGGTTGAGAATGAGAGTACCAGGTTTAAAAGAAAGCATAGCAGTAAAAAAGTTAAGGTTATACATACATGTTCAGTTAGTATTCAGGTACCAGTTTCTGATAGATTTAACTTTTGGCTGCTTGCAATGAGGAATGAGATAATCAAGAGATAACATAATACAAAGTATAGGGACAACAAGGGACATATTGGTCCATTTAGGCTGCCCCATCCTCTAAACTAAAATAATAATAAAAACCTCAATGCTAGCCCTTATCATTGATACAGTTATAAAGTTATCTCTTAAACTCACTTAAATTTACTGCCTCCACAAAATCTGAAGTTAATCTGTTCCAAAGGCCAACCACGCTGTTAGAAAAATAAAAAGTTGTTGAAAATGACTCCAAACCTTTGTTATTATTATTATTATTATAACAGTTTATTAGGTATGATTGGTGCAATGATTGGTTTGTTATGAATTTCTCACAAAGCTACATGTGGTCTATGCACTAGCCATCCCTAATTTGGCAGTGAAAGACTAGAGGGAAGGCATCTAGTCATTAGAACTCACCACCAGATCTTAGGCTACTCATTTACCAATGAATAGTGGGATTGACCATCACATTATAATGCCCCCACGGCTGAATTGGAGAGCATGTTTGGAGGGACGGGGACTCAAACTTGCAACCCATAAATTGCGAGTTGAGCGCTCTAACCACCTGGCCATGCCAAGCCAATTGGTGCAATGAGTTGGTCTTATTTATCTAATTTACTCAATCAAGGCATGGCAGGGATGGACAGCTATCCCCTTCTGCTTTACCTAAGCGGTCCATGGGTGGTATGATCCAAAACAGGCATGTTTATGAAGCAAAACCATAGTGAGGTTATTCACCTCCAAGTGATCTTGTGGAACACCCCATCTTACTGGTGAGCACTGAGAAGCCATGTAAGAGGGATCAATTCTACAGCTGCAAGGTGTGGATTTCAACTGAAGAATATCTGGTCAGGCACTGCTTGCCATGAAATGGGATCCAAATAGTCAATAATGAAGCAAGGGCCCCTGAAAGGAAAAAAAGAAACTTACCCAGTTAGAGTTGCAACAAAGTATGAAAAATAACCATAGGTAGATGAAAACCCCGCGAGGAAGAAACCGTGATATGGTGTAGATAAGGGGAGATGAATGTAGGAGTTTCCCCAATGGCTGATGAAGACGAGATGCCAGGGAAAAGGTAAGGATGTTGATTCTGATGAAAAGACAGGAGACATCTGGAACAAAGTCTAAGAAGGAGACGATAAAGGGGAGAAAGCCAATGGGATCAAAAGCCACATACAATTGATGAAGGTAGAAGGAGAAAGATCTCAACTCGAGGAAAACTGCCTAGGAATAAAGATGTGGGTGCGAGCACCATGGAAAGAAGCCATATGGGCAATACAACAATAATTTACATCAATGACATAAAGGAAGTAATGGTCAATAAATTACTTAAGTTTGCTGATGAAATTAAGGTCTTGGGTGTTGCTGGCTGTGAGGAGGATGCTGCTGCTTTATGAAAGATTTAAATCATTTAGTGAGTTGGGCAAGTAAGTGGCAGATGGGTTCTAATTATAATAAGCACAAAATAATGCATGTGGGTTATCATCATAATTTGAATTATAAGTATAATTAAGATGGGAATAACCTTAAAAGTGTTATGAAGGAAAGGGATATGGGTGTAGTGGTTGATCCGTCTCTTAAGCTACCCAAGTAGTATGCTGTTGTTAGTGGTAGGACCAATGGTATTTTAGGTTGTTTCTACAGAAATACTAAATACAAGGCTAAAGAGGTTATAATTTCATTGTATTGGTCACTGGTTAGGCCACATTTGGAATATTATGTTCAGTCTTGGGTTGTTTGTTTTCTCTTGAAAAAAGAAGAGAAGGGATCTGAATTGAGGTGTTTAAGATTTTAAAAGGGAATTGACAGTGTTGATGCATCATCTTTTTTCATATTTAACAGTGAGAATAGTAGGACT